GGGAGCAGATTGAATGCTAATTGCTCAAAGACCAGCCTAAATTCAAATCAAGGAATATAATGGATATATTCACATTTGCTTATTTAGAAATATTGAATCTTAATGATGAGGTTTCACATACTGTGTTAGCTCAATGAAAGCCCACTTCCTTGACCCTTCAGGGTCAGAAAACTTTTGCTGTGTCCTTACATGACAGAATAACCAGAGGTATGAACTTGGATTTATGATCTCATTCATGTTGTGCTCCCTCCAGTTGTGTGGCTCATCACCATCTGTGCCTTCACTTTTGTAACTAGTGTTCTTATCCTCACATGAAACTACCCAGAGTGTTTGGGGGCTTGCAATCCTTTGCTATTGTATGGAGCATAGTAAGTCATGAAACTGTAATTAAAAATGTTTGATGGTGGACAGGCTTTGATACATGCAATTTCTGACTCTCAAGGCCAATTTTGTTAGTATCTAAAAGTAGCACTGTAACAATCCACATTAATACTATTTATAGGAACATCTCACTGTGTGTGCATAGATATATATATATATGTATACATGTACATAACATATATATACACACAGATCTACATATACATACATACACATATATGGAAAGGAAAGGATTCATTTTATCCTTTCTAGTTTTCAGATTCTATGATTCTGGAATTGTATGACTCCAGTTCTCATATAGGTTATGTCACTAACTGTCATTTCAATTCTCTGGAAATAAATGATTTTCTTTCTCTCTTTCTCTCCTCACCCTGCTTCAAATTTCAGAATTGAAGGATCTCAATGGCCATTTTTTTCAAACTAAATCTGAAAAAGAATTCCTTCTATATCACACTCAGTAAGTGATAACCAGACTTTGTTTTAAGACTTCCAATGAGAAGACATTCCTTACTTCCTGAGGCAGCTTATTCTACTTTGATGTAGGTATAATTATTATTATTGGAAAGTCTACATTTTTCTCTCATCATCGCTTACTCATTGCTCTTCTTTTGCCCTTTGGCACTAAAGCGAACAAGTCTAATCCATCATCTAGGTGACAACTCTTCCAATAATTGTCCACTGCCCCTAATATATCATTCTTTCTAGTCTACCAGGCTTCTTTTCTCCAGATTTAATACGCTCAGTTCCTTCAACCAATCCTTATAAGGTATGAATTCAAAGCTCTATTCTTATTGTTATTTTCTAAATGCTATCCAAAGTTCTTTTCAACTATAAAATTATGTAATTCTGTGAAGAACATGATTGAATTATATTTACCTTGGGATTATGATCCTTCTAGAATATTTCTGGCTCTTATTCCATTGAGGGAGAAGGCATTTAACTTCTTTTGCCCCCTTATATTTCCACTCATGTTTAATTCCACTCTCATGATATCATGATGACTGCTTAGGGTCAAATTACTATTAGAGGAGGGGAAAAGGAATTTGCAGTTCAGAGGTAATATCTGGCCTTTGAACTAATTTAATTTGTCTCCAACACATTTTCTCAAGCTAAATGTGAGCCATTGACCACATTTTTTCCTGCTAACAAAACTCATTTATGCCAATCATTGTAAGAAATACAACATGGATTTAACTCTTTGGAGTCAAAGATCTAAAAACCCCACCAAATGAGGTATCATTGAGAAGCAGTATAATGTAATAGAAAGAGTGTAAGACTTGTAGTCAGGAAGAACCTGGATTCAAATCTTAGCTCCCATAGCTTTCTTAATTCTATCAGGCTTGGGCAACTGACTAAGACAATTTTCTTATCATCTGTCAAAAAAAAATTTGTACTAGCTATCTTTTAGGAGGGTTCTAAGGAAAAGGTAAAAGGCTTTGTAAACCTCAAAATGCAATATAAATATAAGCTATTATTATTCCATGAACAAGTATACTTTTCTCTGTGGACAAGGTACAGAGAAAAGCATTATTAATCTCAACCTCAACTACTCTTAATGTCTTGTCTGGTAGGATCTTGCCTGTAGCCAGGTCTCCAAACCATTACCTGGCCATCTCCAAATCATGCTATGTGGCACCCTCTTAGAGGTCCCCTTTATGTATTGTTATCCCCCATTAGAATACAAGTTCTGCAAGAGCAGAGACTGTGTTGCTTGGTTGTGTTTGTATCTCTAGTAATTACTTAAAAATGTTCTATCTATCTCGTAGAAGGTGTTATTTAAAAAATTCATCCCATAAGTATTCCACTCTGAGAAAAAAGAAAAATAGAAAGGAAAATGAAAAACAGTTTTACAACAAAACCTTGAGACTATTTATAAGCTCCTTATTGGAAGATCAGGATAAATGTGTCAAGGAACAGGTATATCAGGAGCTTGAAACATTACTTAGAATGGCTAACTAGCAAAGTGAAAGATGTTGCTGTATAAGGGAAATAGCACCTGTTAGAAAATGGGAAAGTAGTTCAAGTATTAAGAGTGGGGAAATCTCTATAAAAGATCATGGGCAAATTAAATATTAAGCAGGTCAAATATAACTTATGTGGCATCTTAAAAATGACACAAAAGCCAATAATTAGAGAGAACTGGGGCTCCTTCATCTAAGTGAGTGTCTCAGTTGAAAGTTTTTCAAGGAGTTTGGGATCTATAGACAGATATGTTAGGTAAACTTTTAAATAAGCCTATAATGAAACAGATTGCCTTTTGTGAACTTTGGGGATGAACTGTATATTGGGTTGAATTAGTTCTCCTAGCATGACTCAAAGTCTCCTTTGGATGAGGGTGGATGGAGGATATCTATTTATATGTCCCTTTGAACAAATCTAGAAAGACCCGTTAATATACACATAACCTACAAGGGCAACCCCGGACACACCCCTTACATGCATATCCTCTTTTCCTTTGTGAATAAACCTGAGTAGATGTACTCTTGTGGTTTGGATTAAGAGGCAGATGGCATTAAGAAGGGGGTAAAGGAATGCATATTAAGTAGCCTGCCAGTAGCAAAAGAAGGAAATAAGACTATTTTGGATTGGATGCAGCACATCTCCGAACCCAAGGAACCAATAAGCTCAAGGATCCAGAAAGTAAGGAGGTTATGCCTTAAGATGGGGTTCAGTGAGGAGAGAAAGGAGTAAAGGCCTTGGAGCTTGGGGCATATGAATGTTACCTGGGTACATTCTCATAAAATGCTACTGATCTAGGGAAGCTTATGTGGTTCAATAAGGTCTAGGGCCAGGTCATTTACATCATCCTTTCCTATAGTGATGAGGAGGCAGACTTGACTTCTCAAAGGAGATGAAATGTAAACTCTGACAGTTTTAAGCTAAAACATCTTCAGATTTAAGCCTAGGAATTGATTATGTTCAAAGACCAGCCTAAATTTGCAGCAGTTGGCCATCAGGTGATTTTTTTTTTTGGACAAAGCAAATCATGAAACCATCTCCTGAGTCATTGAGATTTTTCCAATAAACATCAGTAGAGGGCATATTATTTATACCGATGAAATAATGGGTCTCTTTATGTGCTGAAGTGTAAATAGGAAGACAGACCAAAGCAGATAGAGGGAAGCAGAGGCCTAAGTGTGGCATCCATAGGGGCAGGGAAGACTTAATGGGCAGTACATGTTGGCCTTTTCCAATTCCTCAGTCTCTCTCATTTCCTTCCCCATCCTGTCTCCATGTCACCCTTCCTTCTGTGACCTCAATGCTACTCTCTTTCTGGATCCTTCTCTTTCTTCTAGATAGCTTTCACATTTAATTGTTTATAATATGGAGCCAAAAAAGTTCTTTTTTATTTAATAAAGTCTAGGGTTTCTATTATAACTTGAAATGCATACAAAGTACAACTTTAAAAAAACATTCCATGTGTCTTTCAAAAAAAATTGTTTTAATTTATCATGCCCATCAATTTTTTGCCCATAAATAGCAAAAAAAAAAAAGTTTAAAGTTTAGTTCTGTATTCATTGTTAGTTCTGGCATGTTTAAAAATCTAAATTTAGAATTTTAAGAAGAGTATTTGTGTCTTGAAACCTAGAAGCAGGGGAACTAAGGTATTGGGTCAAACACTGATAGGCAAAGAGACAGATTAGTAAAGTTTCTTTAGGATGAATTTGTGCAAGAATCTTAAAGATGCTTAAATAAGTGTCAAAAAAAAATCCTGAAGTTATTTGCCTCTCTACATTAAATGTCAGTTAAGCAGTAAGATCAAGAAGATGTGATAATTCAGTCCCTCACTCTGTTGTTGTCATAATAATGAATGAGAAATTCTTTCTCTAAGAATGACTAAACTACATCAGTTTTACTATGATGAAAAAAAAAATGGTGAAAAATTAGAAATTAAAGAAAATTGTTACAGACAATTTCCAATAAAATTATTTTTAAATCACTAAAATATAAACTTTAATGAATCAGATATTTGCCTCCCATTTTTTCATTTCATTTAATTTTACTTATGAAAAAACTTTATGGTGGAATGCTACTTTTGTTTGATATATAAAATTATAAATGCATTTGATTTCTTATGGCAAGAATTTCTTGTAAAATGTTTTGCCAAATTACTATATAATGTATCATTTTATTATTTTTAAATATCTAAATGAAGATTTAATTGTAACAACATTTACAATAACTCTGTGCCCTCCTCCCTTGAGTAAGGCGTTCTTTCCTGGATTAAAAGAAAACTCAGCCCAAAGCCTCATTTAACTTCTTTTGTTTGTTTAGTGGAAAGAATGAGGAATTTTTCCTTCTTGCTGCAAATACACCCTCTTTTTTCATATCTCTCTGTCTTCTTCTCTGTGTCTATGTCATTATTTCTCTGTCTCCCCTTTCTGTCTATGTCTGTCACACAAATACCACACTGTGTTCAATTTTCTAATTCTTAAAGATAAATCCTGAACACCATTTATTTTCTTTAGCATGAAATGTATACCAAGAAATTGTCAGAATTTTCCCACAAGAAAAGTAATAAAAAATGTTCCAATTCATAAGCTTAAAAACCTTACAGTTAGAAATCTATTAAGTATTTGTAAACATATCTATCAAAAAAGAAAACAAATGAAACTTACTGATACATTTTGCCTTGCCGAGAATGGCCTCATCTACTCCACCTTTCTGCAGCTTTTACATTCCCAATCAAGTGAGTGACATCCTGTGCATTATATGAGGCTTGTACACTGACTAAAGTAAGGGTATAGAGGGATTTAACTTAAAACTAGTTTAACAAGTCAGGAATAGACAACTCTAAACAACAGTGTGGTTTGAAATGAAGAATCATATGATAAAACTTTTTGTAAGGAAGTAAAAATTTCCTGGTTCTGGCCAATTAAAAATGTTAGAAAACAATTGTGATTTCAGCATCTCAGGAACACCTTTCTGTGTTCTGGGAAGTGATGCATTTGTGAATCAGGGGTAGTATTGTCTCTTCTGAGTCAGCACAGACTAGTCTCCCAGAAGTGATATGTATCTATCTTCAAGAACGGCAAAACTCAAAACAAAATGTATTTTATTTATAAAGAAGTTTGTATCTGTTTTATGCCTTCATTTCATTTTGGTAGTGAAATTTTTCTTTTTGTCTAAAAATTCATTTGAGGTCAAGTTTAAGGTAAACTAACATAGAGGATGGGGAAACTAAAAGTACATTGATTCTACTAATATTTGTTGTTGTTCAATCATTTGGTCATGTCTGACTCCTCATGACCCCATTTGGGATTTTCTTTGCAAAAATACTAGAGTGGTTTGCCATTTCCTTATCCAGGTAATTTTTCAGATGAGGAAATTGTGGCAAACAGGGTTAAATGACTTGCCCAGGGTCACACAGCTAGCAAGTGTCTGAGGCCAGATTTTTTACCCAGGTCTTCGTGAGTGCAGGACACTCTATCTACCATGTGCTGTCCCACAAATATTTAGACACTGATTTTAAAGGTTTTCGCCACCAGATTGTACACAACCCATATATCGTCACCTCTCACTTCTGCGTCCTCTGTCCTAGCCTGTTTTCCCCTTTTATTACCTCTTCCCTCGTTTTTTTCTTAGCTTTCAACTATACCTAGATTCAAGTTGCTCCATATCCCAGGAAGAAGCTTCCTTGTTATAGCACATCCTTTACTACCTTCAAATCATAGCTGTAATCCCCCCCAAAAAAGTTGGTATTTTTATGGTTGTAAGGACTTTAGAGCTCATTTAATCCATATTCTTTTCATTTTATGTGTTTATTCATTATTCATTTGTTTGCATCCTCTCCTTCCCCTCCCCCCCACACCAAATACACACAAAGTGCTTTGTTATTTGGACATGGTTTCCAGTTCGGGTGTGGGACCAGGGCCACAGATTCAAGAGAGCCCCAGGTAGGGCAGGTGGAGCACCAGACGTTTCAGGGAGAGCCTCTCACACAGATACTGGCCCAGCCTTGGCTTCAGAAGGGTCAGATAGTTATCCTTCTAGTCTCTTGATCTACTGCCTTTCCTGTACTTCAGGAATTCATGGAGGTCATGGTGCCCTTAGCTGAAGCCTAGGGCTTACAGCCCCACTAAAACCTCATTTTCTTCAGGGCCAGCGCAACCTCACCAGACTTGCAGACCACTTTGGCCCCACTCTTCTTAGGCAGCTTCTACAGGATGCCTTCCTTCACCCCTTTTCAGTCTGGGGTCTCCTTTCCTTCAGCTCTGGGGAGAAATGTAACCACACCTAAGGAGGATATACCACACCCAAGGCAGGGCCAGAAGTCACCAGAGAAGTAGAAGCCTAGGAAGGGTAGGGAATTTCCGGAGGATCTAAAAGACAACGCTCATGGCCCTGGAAGAAAGGGTCTAGAAGGGAAGTGCAGCTGAGGCTGGTTCCGGCGGCCGGGAAGGTGTTGGAATGGAAGAGGTTCCACAGGACTGCCCCGGAACCAGCAGTGCCCAGGCAGGCAAAGGGGCATCGTGTCAGGGATGCCCGAACCAGCGTCTGTGCGCCTCCGGAGCTGGCGACGCCCCCACCCGGCAATAGAGGAAATCAAAGAAAAGATGAGAACTGTGAAACACAAAATCTTGGTCTTATCTGGGAAAGGTGGTGTCGGCAAAAGCACTTTCAGTGCTCATCTTGCTCATGGTCTAGCAGAAGATGAAAGTAAACAGATTGCTTTGCTGGATATTGATATTTGTGGACCAATTCCCAAAATGATGGGACTAGAGGGAGAACAAGTTCATCAGAGTGGTTCTGGATGGTCTCCAGTGCATGTTGAAGAAAATCTTGGTGTGATGTCAGTAGGCTTCTTGCTTGGCACTCCTGATGATGCTGTCATCTGGCGGCGACCAAAAAAAAAAAAGAATTGGCATGATTAAGCAGTTTCTTCATGATGTGGACTGGGGAGAGATTGATTACCTCATTGTAGATACCCCACCTGGCACTTCAGATGAACATCTATCCACAGTCCAGTATTTTAGTGCAGCACACATAGATGGAGCAATAATAATCACTAATCCTCAGGAAGTGTCACTACAGGATGTTCTAAAAGAAATCAACTTTTGTCATAAAGTGAAATTGCCAATATTTGGTGTAGTAGAGAACATGAGTGGCTTCATATGCCCCAAATGTAAGAATGAATTGCAAATATTTCCTCCAACAACAGGGGGCGCAGAGGTAATGTGCCAAGATTTGAAAGTCCCCCTCCTTGGTAAAGTGGCTCTGGATCCACAGATAGTTGTGATAATGGACAATCCTTTTTGACTGAAGTGCCTGATTCACCAGCTACAATAGCATACAGAAATATAATCCAAAGAATTCAAGACTTTTGTGATTTACATAGTTCAAAAGAAGAAAAGGTGATTAGCTGCTGAAACATTAATTTTTATGGACCCTAGCTATAGTCATAAACAAAAAAAAAGTCTAATCAATTGCAGGGATAAATATTAGAAATTTAAAAGCCTGACCTGGTTTCGAAATCACTTTTTAGGGACACTTTAATCATCTAATTTTGATATACTTTTTATTAAGGTATGAGTTAATATAATGTAAGGCACTGTATTTCCAGATATGCCATTCAAAAAATAAACATCTTTCCTCCTCTAAAAAAAAAAAAAGGAAGGGGCAAGAGGTTTGGGTTGATGGCAGCTGGACCTGGAGGTGGTCAACCCTCTTCATCTAACAGCTGAAGGAACTGAAGCCCACAGAAATTAGGTGGCATAACTTGCTCAAATTATTGAGGCAGCCAAAGGGCTTTTGATAAAGCACTGGGTCTGGAGTCAGGAAGATTTGAGTTCAAATCTGACCTCAGACACTTACTAGCTGCATGACCCCGAGCAAATCGATTAACTTTTTTTTTTTTGCCTTAATCCACTGGAGAAGGAAATGGCAAACCACTCCAGTGTCTTTGCCAAGAAAATTCCATAGACAGTATGGTCCACAGGGTCATGAAGAGTCAGGCACAATTAAATAACTGAACAACAACAATAACAACAGAAATTTGCTCAAGGACCCACTAGTTGTGGTCAGAATTGGGCCTGATTCACAATGAATTGTATTTTAATCTATAATACTTTCCTTTGTTCCTAAAGATTATAATTAGTTTCAGAAGTGGACAAGGGCTTAGAAAAAAGATGAAATACTGCCTAAGGGTCAGAATCATGGCCTTCTGCCACCCGTGTTAGTCTGGAACCAGTTCAAGCAAGAATAAAGCTTCCTATTACACAAAGTTTTCAAGATACATTTCTTTTTGAATTTATCCTCACAAGGTGAAGACTAAATCCAATTTTTAGTAGCTAAGGGGTAAGTAAATGAGAATTTGTTGTCTGACTCTTCCAGGGCTGTTTGGACTGGACTTTGAGAGCTACCTAACAACTCAGCCATGATTTATAGAACCAATAGATACTTCTTGGGAGAATGGTTAATTTAGTCCAGGAGTTGTATAGATTTAAAGAGCAGGAGTGTACTGGAGCCACCTTGATCTGGCTTTCAAGAGATGATTGCAAAATTTTCAATGTGAGCATTTATATCTCTGAAACTGGTGAATGCTACAAATTGTATCTTGATTTGCTGTTTTGCTGATTTTTTTAGACATGAAAATGATAGAAAAAATGTTAATAATGTAGATTAACCGTAAAAGTGTGTTACACGTACTCCCTCCATCTCCCAGAGATCCAGTTGTTAAACACTTATATACATATCCCTGCTTTAAAGCCTCCAAGATCCCTGGAATTTGGGCCAGGAGCACAGCAGCCCTGGAAATCCAGCAGTACCAAATATTGGCTATAATGTAGAGAACAGAATACAGTTCTTTCAATGTTACTGGTGTACATACTCATTTTAGTTATTTTTCCTGTTATAATCCTTGAAGAACTGAAATAATTTATGTTACAGAGAAGCCATGATAAGCATCAGTGAATGGGATAACATTTTGATAATCTTCATATTTCAAATGATTAAAATTTAATTCTTACAAATGGCATTTCCCTCTAAGGGTCTTTCAGAACCAGAGGATACTAAACTTTGGCATAGCATGTGAGGGAGTGTGCATGAGGGGTACAGAGCATGGGTGGTGTCATTGGCTAATGGTCCCAGGAGAGCATTGTAAACTAGAGAGCCTATTTAGATTAAATTCTATATGGTTGATTAAAATGAATGTCCAGTTAGATAATTATGGATTATGGATTATCTAAATTCTTTTTCTCCTTGTCAAAGGAATCAAATAAACATCCATCTTATCAAGCCTTCGAAAGCAGTAACATTTTCCCCTGGAAGGATAAGTAATGATCTCCTTCCACCTGCCATACCCCACACAGATGGGAGCCCCATCAAAGCTTCTCAAGTGGAATAGAAGAATATTTTGTTGTTCAGTTGTTTTAGTCCTGTCCAACTCTTCATGAGCCCATTTGGAGTTTTCTTATCAAAGATACTGGAGTGGTTTGCCATTTCCTTCTACAGTTTATCTTATAGATGAGGAAACTGAGGAAAGCAAGGTTAAGTGATTTGTCTAAGGTCATACAGCTAGTTAAGTGTCTGAGGCCAGGTTTGAACTCAGGAAAATGAGTCTTCCTCACTCCAGGCCAACCTGTCTATCCGCTCACCACCTAGCTGCCCCTTGGAAAGAATATATGAAAGAATATATTTTTATGTGTTCTACTAAATGGAACCAATGAGGCTCTTTCCAATTTGTGAGATTTTATCTCCAAAGTCATGAAAAAGCAGCTAATTCTCCCCCTCCCAAACAGATTTTCTCTTTGTTTCTTTTTTTAGGGGAGGGTATTATTTTCACAGCATGAATTACAGAACTGATGGGAGAGGGAATTTTTGTGCCACCCTCCCAACTTTGTGCTACTGGCTTAGGGCAATGGCTGTTTGTTGTGGGTGCCAACATTTTTTAGTTATGGCTCGGGTGAGCTTCACATATGTTAACTCACTGATTCTCTCAATAAAACTGTGAGTTAAGTGCTATTATTATTCCACTTTACAGATGAGGAAACTGAAGCACAGAAATATTAAGTGACTTGCCCAGGTTCACACAGCTAGGAAGTATCTGAAACAGGATTCAAACTCAGGTCCTTCTAACTTCAGGTCCTACATTCTAGTTACCTAACTGCTTCTTTCAGCATGTAGTAAGAACTTAATTTTTTTCCTTTCCTTCCTTCCTTCCTTCCTTCCTTCCTTCCTTCCTTCCTTCCTTCCTTCCTTCCTTCCTTCCTTCCTTCTTTCCTTCCTTCCTTCCTTCCTTCCTTCCTTCTCCTTCCTCCCTTCCCTTCCAGAAGACGTAAGAAAAGAAAAAAAAAGATTCATTTTATTTGCAGGGAAACATGCAGTATCCATTGGTGAGCCGGCAACTTAATAACAATACTCATTTTCCTTGCTTGCTTTGAGATTGGAAATTTGTCCTAATAAGGACTGTGTCCAATGGTCAGGATCAATCAGTTTTCCTAAATCAAGTTTTTAAAGAACATACTTTTAGATCTAGAGCTACCTATATTTTAAAATGATGTTTATCTTCCCAATCATCTGGAAATATTACATGAAGATAAAGGGAACAAATGCACATTGGCAGGCACATAAGTTAAAGTTGTCAGTATACACATTATACTTCCAGCTCTTTTATTCTTTCCACGAAGAAAATACTTCATAACAAAGTATAATTTTACAGAAAGATTTCTATTGTTTTCTTTGAGTCGAGCAGTATTCTATAGACAGAATTTTTTTTTAAAAAAGCCTGTTTACCCTCATAGTTGCAGCCCTTCAAAGCTTCATTACTGTCCACCAGTCTTTGAGTTTTCTCTGTAATGCTTGTAACCTAACTGACCAGAAAATAAATACTTACATGCCCTAGAGATTGTAATTTTCTGGTCTTTAAGATGCTTATTTAAAATAATGTTTAAAACTGCCCTTTATGCCTTCCTTCCTATTGTGTCCTTGGTAGCTATCTTGCCTATCATTAACCCTGACTATTTAGGAGACCTGAGTTCTAAGTCCTGGTTTTACTCTTAACTTACTGCATGTCCTCAGATGAGTCACCTCACTTGTCTTGTCTGGGCCTCAGTAGCCTCACCCATTAAAGTTAGGGCTATGTGGTCTCTAAGGTCTTTTGGAACTTTTACATGCTCTGGTTTGTTGACTCCCGATTTCATTGTCTACAGTGAAGGGTCTTAGTGTTCTCAGATATCCAGAAGGGACTGCTGTCCCACATTACCTTTCCACAAAAAGAGAGGCAAGGATACAGAATATTGGGCTTTTGCAATGGGTAGAGTGGTATTAGAATCACAGATTTAGATCTTGAAGGGATCACAGAGGCTTTCTAATTCAACTTCATTTTACAGATGAGAAAACTGGGGCTTGGAGAAGTGAAAAGACTTGTCCAAGGTCACACTAGTAGGATGTAGCAGAATAGTTTGAATTGATCTGATTTTCAGCACAGCACACAGCAAGCTCTTTTGTTACCAAGAGAAATCCCATTACAATTCCATTAGGAATTATGTGCTTTATTACTTACCCTAATTTCCAGAAACAGGGAACCAGAAAAATTACAGCATGGCTTTCTAAAATTTCAGAGTGGGAATATGATTCATCACACAAGACAAAGCCCAGGCACTTTGTTACCATAAATATATTTGTAAAATATACAAAGCAAGACCCTACATAAATAAATATATTGACAATTGTATAAAAATTACATTAAAATATTAATACATATGGTAACAGAAAGTCACCCTTTGCATTGCTAACGGTTTCCAGTAATAGACTTTGCATTTTCATAACAGCTTTTATCCAAACACTCAAAGACAAGTAGATTCACGTAAGTTAAACCTCACAACATCCCTGTGAGGTAGGCCAGTATATCATTCAACAGACAGAGGCATTGAGATTAGAAGATTGATATCTTATACAATGAGTTGTAAAAGACTATTCAATGAAGCAGAGACCAAACTGGTACTAGTATGTAGGAGGCCAGTGATGCTGTGATGCAGAAGCAGCTTAGCAATGCTGAGACTTATACCTTCAATTTTTGTGGTTGCTTCCAAAATACAACTAAATTGAATTGAATTAAATATAACTATATATACAGTTGTATATTAAATAAATAACTGTAATACCTTTAGGGAGAAAAATAAGCTCATTTCACAGAGACTGATAAAATATCAATCTTACTAAGATGAAAAGCCTGAGTGAGAATCAGAATGATTGTAATAGAATGTACCATAAGTCTAGTACAGAAACTGAGCAAACTGGAAATTTCCAAAAGTACCCTGATCATTTTTTTCTTAATGTCTGAGAAGCCTGGGGATAGTATAAACAGGTTGCATCAGAAATCAAATACATGTCAAATACCATAGAGATTTCCTAGAAAATTTTGGGAGTTTTTATTTGTGAAAGGTAGGTGAATTTTATTTTGTATTTGACTTGCTTCCCCTAGTGGCGTTCAGCTGCTCTATTTGTTTTGATCCAAAACTATGATTTCTTTGATGTATGAATATCCTGGTGTAGAAACTCACTCCACCAGTGCAGATCACTTTAGTTTGTTTTTTTTTTAATTTGTAGTCTTAAAGAATTGCTTCTGGAAATGATAAATTAAGGAAATTAAGTGACTTGCCAATGTTCACACAGCCAGCCAGGTGTATGTCAGAGGCAGGTCTCACTGACTCCAAGGCTAGTGCTCTAGCCACTACAGCACATTGTCTCTCTTTTTACTGTTACCTGCTCTCACATAAAGTTCAGGAAATATCATCTCTATTAAATGAAGCTACAATAGGAATATCTCTTCCTAGATCTAGTTACTACTTTCAGGTAAATAGTAATCATTTTGGGGTTTTGCTCAATTTTCTATCTTTCTCACAAATGGCCACTTTGAAAAACAACTAATAAAAATTGGCAGCATCTGCAGGAGTTGCTGACTGAGGCTTTGTCAATAACTCTGGATGTTTCAAATTGATTCAAAAAGCATTTTAAAATCTTTGCTGTGTATGAGGCACTGTGCTATGTGTTTGTTTCTGAGACAAAAAAAAAGCATTGCCTGCTCTCAAAAAGCTTACATTCTACCGTGTGTGTGTTTGGGGAAGGGGGTGTAAATGTACACAGATAAGAAATAAATACAAGATAATGTCAGGAAAGAGAGAGTGCTGGTAACTGGGAATGAAAGGAAATCAAGACAAAAAAATGAAAAACAGAAATCAGACACTTCATCGGTAATTCACAGCTACAAGAGATTTGTGCTTTGCACATTAGTCCCTGAGTTGAGCACAAATATATCTGGAGCCCTCTGCTGCTGTTGAAGGCAGTAAATCTTAGAATCCCATAAAATATTATTTGGAGGGGTGGGGAAAATTCTTTGAAACATATTAACAAGATGTATAAATCACTGCAAAAGCATAGGAGTCTCCCCAGTTTTCCAAATGTAATGGAAGAAAAATAGAAGTTAATTATATGGTTTTAGGAAGGAACATGTTTAGGCAAATTATTTCAAGTTGTACTAAATGAAGCACATGAAGAAGAAGAATTTGTACAACATATGATCCCAAAATGTCAGCCTATTCATCTTAATGAATCCTGGCTCCCTTGTCTAAGAATCACTGATTTTTTTCCTTTAGATCTAGGCTGACTTTATGTGTTGATGAAAAGTGGCAAAACTATCAATAGCAGATGTAATAGAACACTGATCACCATACTTTGGCACAGATCTTTGGTGTTCTGGGAAGATAGTCTTTTCTGTCTTCAACCATACTTAAAAACACACATTCAAAAACAGCTTTTGGAGCCACCCATCAATTAGCCTGAGGCACATCTTTTCTTCAACATCTTTCTTTTGTTCATCCACACTGTTGTCTCCAAGATTCTTCAGATGCATTCAGCACCAAGCCATCTTTTCTCATTCTTTCAGCTTTACCTCCAAGTAATGATGTGCTTCTTATTACAGCATGCAGAATGAGTGCCAATGTAATAAGCAGATGCTCTGTGCCCCATATATAAATATAAATGGTATATTACAGCTTCAGATAATTATTAAGTGGCAAATGCAATAACATAATGGTTAATATTCTGTCCTTTAGGTATTGGACTTGAAGAAGATTTCTAGTTTTTAATACATCAATGCCCATACTCTACCACTAGAAGATAGTGTAAATAAGTAATACAATTCAGTTACTGTGTTCCTAGAAGAAATGGCTTATCTATCACCCCCAGCCATAAATAGAGTGGTTGTATTTATTATAAAAATCAAAAAGTGTGAAGAATTGCTATATAATGTTAGAATCTCCCTACTATCCTAAAGAAAAATACCCTCTTTCTTCACCATGGAGAAAAAAAGTTTATAAATATAGTTAATAAGTAAAATAATATCAGAGAGGTCTTCTCAGAAGAGAGATATGGGGACTATAGGTGCAGAATGTTGAATGTATGGTCAGAGACATTAACTATATATGCTGACTTTCTAAATTGTTTTTCATTGTTGTGAGAGTATGTTCAATATGGGGGGGTTGTAATGATAAATTTGAGAATGACTCTGATGTAAAAACAAAAGTCATTAGTAAAACTTCTTTTAAAAATCATATTAGAAAGGACTTTTCTTTGTTAGTGGCTTTGTTTTATCTGTCATTATAGCTTCCACTTTCCTCATGGTAGGAAGAATGTAAGTGAGATATGTGCAGCAAGGTAGAGAATAATAAATCAACACGAGTCTTTTGTGATTCATGATGTCTTCAGGGCATCGGCCCAAATCATATGCAGGTGAAAATTCATATGATATTGGAATTTCAGATGAATATTACTTATATACAACTCATTCATTTTACTCAACTGAAGATTTTGCTTTAGAAACCAATTTTTGAGTTAATCCAGTTCCGATACTGAGTCACTTGAGTGTAGACTCCAGGTCTTTTGGGAAGAGCACATGATTCTCCCCAACTCACTATTCCAATAAGGTACCAGATATCGTGGTGATCAGGATAAACCAGGGGTCCACCAGAATCACCCTGAGAAAAAAATAAATAAGTAGATAAATATCCAGTAGAGTACTGCATTTTAATAGAATCAGAATAATTTCAAATACTTCTTTCCTTCTGAAAGAAAGAATGTTGAAGTTGAACTGAAGTTGAACATAATGTTATAGATTGCTTCCATAACTTGCAAGTAAATCTTGCAATGGGACATTTTATCATTCAGTTGTATGTATCAACTGTACTATTTGGTACTTAGAGCACTTGGATATTATCTCTGAATTGTTAAAGAACAACATTTGTTCATTAGTATATAATTAATTTTAGTTTGTGAGAACATAAGGGAAACTATCCCTCAAATTTTGTTTTCTTCAAAAATTGGCTTCATTTTATAAGTCTTTAAGACTGATCTCTGTTTAAATGAGACAATTTATCCTTAGACAAGTGAGTATGTTCATAGTTCTGTAGAGTAGTGCTTGAGAACTTTGGAAACTAAATATCTGTCTAGAAGTGCTTGATGTTAACATCAAACCTACCTTACAAGCATCAACTTTTCCTTCCATATATCCAGCACATAGCATTCCTTTTTTAATAAGACCATTATACACATCTGTTCCGTTACACACATCAGTACTAATGATTTCCACTCTGGCTTGGTGAAGAAGGTTTTGGGTTGGTCCTGCAAACACAAAAAATGTTTAGGTGGTACATCATTGTATGTGTATCCAAGACAAGCAAAGGCATCATCAAATGTCTGAATCAATTTATTAAGATTATTTGAATATTGCTCAGTATTCATTTTTTCATGCCATAAAAATGTAGATAGAGGGAGCCATGTATATGTGTGAACAAATGTAACTTTATATAATCAATATCATCATCATAATCATCAATATATCATAATAACAACTGACATTTGTGAGATGACCAGAACATTTTAGATGAGGACTGACTGCAGTATAAGGGAGCTATTGGATGGTGTGACTTTCTTGATATAACTCAAGATCACATTAGCTTTCTTGGGAATGACATAAAACTTTTTACTTAGTAAGCCTGCATATAGTCTACTCAACCCTTAGAGCTTTTTCTCTTGAACTTTCACCTTACTGTATCTCCCAAACCTATGAAGTTGATTTTTTTGAACCAAATGATGAAACTTAACATTTATCCCTAACAAATAACAGCATTGTTGTGATGATAAAATAACATCAGCAAAACACTTTGCCAACTTTTAAAGTATGATATAAATGTTAACTATTAATAAAAATAATAAGAGAGTAATAATAATAATGATAAAGATAATGATAAATTTCATCTTATTTAATTTAGCACAGTATTTTGGAATGTCAATAAATTTTTGAAACTTGACTGCCATCACGTGTGTTAGCCATCCCTCCCACCTCTGAAATTTTGATACACATACTATCTATCTATTATGTAAATCAGGAGTTAAAAATATTGAAATATAAAGATCCTTAGGGCACTTGATTAGAGACCAAGTTCTAACTTGAAAAAGAGCCATTTGTGACTACTTATTGGATACAACCATTCAACCAGGCTTGCCAAATTAATTCATTTTATTTTCTAGTCCCCCTCCCCCATTTTTCTATTTTTTTTCCAAAAGGATAACATTCCCTCTTCATCTCTCCTTGTTAGCACCTTGTTAAAATTGTGGCAACCATACTCTTATCAAGCTAACCTCTTTCTATCTTATCAACTATCTTCTGCTTGAGTCTCTTTTCTACTTTTCCTTTTTTCAGTCATTTTCAGGTTTCTCCCTCTTCTTTTAACTCATTTCTCCTCTTCAAGTCCTTCTGCTCTAGTCCTTTTTCTCCTTCTCTAAATATTTTTTTTCCAGTTTAGTTTCTATCACTCAGAACATGTCTTTCTCCTCCCTGGGCCTTCACTGTCTTCTGGTGTTCTTTCTCTTCCTTAGATACTTCTGCTTGAGTCTTTTTTCTTTTTCTAATACTCCTTCAGCTCAATTCATTTTTCTTCCACTCAGGTCCTCTTCATTTAGCTCTGACCATTCTCCATAAATAAAAATCCTTCTCCTTTTCCTTCTCCTTCAACTTTTCCATTGAGTCCTCCTTAATTTTCCATCTCTAAGTTACCTCTCCAAATTCTGGGCTTTTTCACATTTCCAAAACCTTCTAAATCATCTTCATAAATCATCCTCTATTTTCATTTCCCTCCTACTCCTCCCTCTCTCTCCTGCTACCACCACAACTAGCTGTAGCATTTCAATTTGTCTCCTTAACTGGATGACATGAGTGGATGAAAAAGCATTTATTAAATGCATTACCGTGCCCCAAGCACTGTGTAAGACAATGGAGATTCACATACAAAAGGGGAGAGGGCCCTTGTCTTCTCTCAGAGTTTACATCCTAAGAAGGAGAGACAAACACACAAAGCAGAGAGGTAGCTAGGAGGGATATTCTAGTTTGGTAAGATTGACAAATCCTTTCCAAGAGCAATAACAGAGTTGATTTTATTGCAGTTGTAAACTATAATAAAAGAAAAAGGGGTGTAGAGTATGGCAGCTGAGGAGTGAAAAGTTACTTGAAGTCAATTCTAAATGCAATAGACAACTGAGGCAATCACTAATCCGAACAGTGGGGGCCTCTGGAGTATCAGACAGGAGTATCAGACAAGAAATGTTTGAATCCTTCAAGGCTTGGTTTCTGATCTGCTTGGCAGTGGGTTAGTTGGTGAGAGGGAATAAAGTGAAATGAAGTATGGTTGGAGTTGTTCCAATGTATAGACTACTTTTTGGACAGGGATGAAGTACTCTCTTTCTCTTGTATACGTGCAAGTATATCCCAATACTCGTACCCCAACAGCGATGGGACATAAAGTAGGTAATCAGAAGTGATAGGTGATTTCAGTTGATATATGAAGTCTTTTTTTTTTTCTGGAGAAGACAACAGAGTTTGAAGTAGTGGGACACAAGTTAGGCAAGTTATAATGGAAAGATAGGCAAAAAAGATGGGGAAAAGAAGTTACTGGGGGACAGTAAGGAAAGAGAAGAGAAGAGCAGACCTACATGAGATTTATTAATTTAGAAACCTAGGCATCCAGCAAGGAGTTAGAAGAAGTAAGTATTAATCACCTTGTCTTTAATACTCAAAGTATGCCAAATTATTTCCTGAGCCACTAGGAAAAATGCAGAATCACCAAATTTAGAGCTGGGAAAATCTTGGAGATAATTTATTAGAGTAGTTCCTAACTTATAAGCTCTTGGGGAACAGTTAAGTTATTAGAAAAGGTCCACAAATTCATATGTGTATTAAACATTGTCATTTTGATTTTTATTGAACTACAAGAAAACATGTAGTGTGAATATAACTACTATGATATAGAAGTCCATGATTACTTTTTAAATTAAAAGGGAGAACTCAATGTCTAAAAGTTTGAAATTGCTGTGCTAGATAATTATGGACCAAGAAAATTTTCTGTAGAATAGGTATTCTCATTGAAATAACTAGAAGGTACTGTGTATAAATTGCACTCTAAGATTTGTCTCCTTTTTTTCTTCAGCAACATAAGGATAAAATGCATTATTTGAGTTATGAATGATTTGAAAATGAGATATCATGTAATGAAAATAATGGACAATGATAGGCAACTTGAGTTAATTTGAACCCTCTAAAATTCTAAGAGGACAAAAAGAAGACCTTCAGAGTGTTAAGGGGATGCTCTTTAGAGAAGTTTTAGAAAGACCGTCATTGAAAAAATAAAGCTTGGAGGAATATGTCATACATAAAACACAAAAGACCCAGAACTAAAAGTGGTACTTTAAGCTTTCTGAATGATATCTTGAGCCATAGAAAACTGCATAGGGTCTGAGTGGATTCTTCAATATAAGGTCTTTCATAGGTACGTCTTTCTACCTAATGGCTCTTCCCTATTTTCTTGGGCAGGTACATGCAAAGGGTCTTATGGGTCCTTGATAGAATAGATTGCCAGAGACCTTGACACATACAGTACAATGGATCATCATGTTATGGGATGAATCCCTTGTACTCTCAAAGTATAACTTTGGTTGTTTTACTCTAGTTTCTGAACAATTTTGAATAATAGCTTACTTGGATATAGTACTTAAGTTTTAAAAAATGCTTTCCTTACAACAAATCTGTGTGGTAGGTAGTATAAATATCATCATTTCATTTAACAGATAAGGAAACTAAGACTGAGAATTAACCTAGATCTTTCTGGACTTCAAGTCCAATATGCCTTCTGTTAGAGTAGAGTGAATTTCTTCAAAAGATGAATCTAAATGTGTTTTCCCTATGACAAATTATTAGGTCCCTGTACATAATTATGCAATTTAAAAGATACTCACCATCATCTACCACAGATCCAAATCCAGTGACAAACACACTTGTTTGAGGTGGCAATTTTATATAGGATTCTGGGAGGCAAACTCGTTGGATCTCATTGGAATATTCAACATTTTCAGCTAGTTGCATCAATGCAATATCATTTTCATGTGTAATGTTGTTGTACTTTTCATGAACAATAATTGTGCCAACATTTTGTTTTGCTAAAGGTGGCGTGATGGTTGTTCCAAATGTCACAATCCATTGCCTTGGATTCTTGGTTCTGTAAAAGATTTAAATGAACAAGTCATATTTTGAATAATGTGCTGGGTTTAACCTTTACCTTTAAAAAAGAGAGGCAAGATCAAAAAAGAAGCAGAAAATTGGGGTGAAAATTTACAGATAGTTTCTCTGATAAAGGTTTCACATCTCAAATATATAAAGAACTTTGTCAAATCTATAAAAAAGATGAGTCATTCCCCAATTGATAAATGGCCAAAGGATACTAATAGGCAGTTTTCAGTGAAGAAACCAAAATAATTTGTAGTCAGGAAAAAACTGCTCTAAATCATTATTGATTAGAGAAATGCAAATTAAAGCAACTTTGAGATATCATTTAAACCTATCAGATTGGCAGAAATGATTGAAGAGGAATGGAATAAATGTTGGAGGGATGTGGAAAAATTAGGACACTAATTTGCTATTGGTGAAATGTGAACTGATCCAACCATTTTGGAAAGAAATTTGAAATTATACCCAAAGAATTATTGAACTGCCTATACCCTTTGACCAAGCAATGTCACTACTAAGTCTGTTTCCAAAGAAGATTAGTGAAGAAGGAGACGAACTTATATATTCTAATATTAATAGCAGCTCTCTTTATAGTGGCAAAGAACTGGAAATTTCAGGGATGCTTACCAACTGGGGAATGCTGAACAATTTGTGGAATAGTTCTGGGCCATGAGAAATGATGAGCTCAATGATCTTAGAAAAATATGGATTGCATGAATTGCATGAATTGCATGAAATAATGAAGAGTGAAATGATCAGAACCAAGAGAATGTTGTATACAATAATAGCAATATCATATTAAGAACAACTTTGAGTGACTAAGTCATTTCAACTACTATAAATACTCAAATCAACTACAAAGAACCTATTAAGGAAGAGGCTACCTGCATCCAGAGAAAGAACTGATAAATAGAAGTATGTATAGAATGATTATATCTATCTATCTATCTGTATGTATTTGTGTGTGTGAATATATATATATATATATATATATACACACATATATATATATATATATATACACACACATTTGTATTTAATGGCAGTCATCTCTAGGGTGGGTGAGGCAGAGAAAAAAGGGGAAAAAAGAAAGTTACATGATAACTTTATTATATATTTAAATGGAATAGCAAGTTGTACACAATAGATCTGCAGTTTTACATGCAACCATTTTTTTTGTTCTATTCTACTGTTACAGAAATGCTTGTTTTATTTCTTAAGTCCAAAATAAAATAAATGAAATTTTTTAAAAAGTAGTGGTATCAGGACATATAACTTTGTGGCTTAAAAAGAAACCTTGGAGATAATTTTCATTTACTAAAAGAAAAAAGTTAAGGCATAGAAAGGAGAAGAAACTTGCCCAAGGCCTTGTACTTATTTATTGACAGAGCTGGCTCTCGAGCTTATGTGTCCATAAACTTAGTCCAGTTTTTTCACTACAGCAGCATTAAGATTTTTCGACTGCCATTAAGTAGAATATAATCATCTAATAATATTTTTTCAATACTTAAAAGATCAGTTTGGATACTCCTTCCACTGGTGTGGATTATACACCAATGGTAGATAGCATCTTCCTTCATAAATCTAAGTCTTTCCATGTTTTTTTCTAAAATTAATGATCAGTAATCTTTATGAATTGCTATTGCACCCCCACCACCACCAAAAAAATCCTCCTGCAGCTAATCTGGTAATGAGTTTTTCTGAATGTAGTTAGTATGATCCTTGTACACCAAATATACAATCTGCCACCAGGCTTTTACATGAAGCCTTCCCGCTTGATAAGAATTGCTAATGTGTTCCACTGACAAAAGAAGTTCTAGAACCAAGAATGATTTTCTGGACCTTCTAAAATGCAAAAACACATCAAAACAAGAATTTAGTAGAGGTTAACAACAACAATGGAGCAGCTAGGTGGTACAATGGGTAGAGCACTGAGCTGATAATCAGGAAGACTCATCTTGATGAGTTTGAATTCAGCCTAAAACACTTACTAGCTATGTGACCCTGGGTAAATCACTCAATCATGTTTGCCTCAGTTCCTCATCTGTCAAATGAGTTGGAGAAGGAAATGGTAAACACTCCAGTATGTTTGCCAAGAAAACCCCCAGTGGGGTTACAAAGAATTGAACATGACTAAAAAGACTCAACAATAAAAAGCTTTTGGAACCAAAAATGGACCACAACAGAGCTGGAAGGAATCCTCACAAAACTCCCTATAATAATATCAAAATACAGGGCCCATCACCATTAGGGAAGAAGGAAGGATGACTAAGCATTTGTACAGTGTCTGCTATATGCCAGGCACTGTTTAAGTGCACTTATAAATATCATTTCGTGTAGATCCTGGAAGAAGCAACACTTCTTTACCAAAAGGGGGAGAGAGAGAGAGAGAGAGAGAGAGAGAGAGAGAGAGAGAGAGAGAGAGAGAGAGAGAGAGAGAGAGAGAGAGAGAAATGAGGATTGATAGAAATTATTGAAGCATATGAAAAACCTACAGCTACAATTCTCAAACAATTTTGGTCTGAGGACAACCTTATACTCTTAAAAATAATTGAAGACTACGAAAAACCTTTTTTTTAGAGACAGCTAGGTGAAATAGTAGATAGAATAATGGTACCAGAGTCAGGAACATATGCATTCAAATCAGGCCTCAGACGCTTAATAGCTGTGTATTCCCAGGAAAGTCACTTAATCTCTGCCTCAGTTTCCTCAACATAAAATGGGGAAAGTAATAGAATCTACCTCTCAGGGTTATTATGAAAATCAAATGAGATAATATTTTTAAAGCACTTTAGCACAATGTCTGGCTGTAAAAAGCATTAATAAATGCTTTTTTTCCTTCTTTCCTTATGGGTTATGTCTATGAATATTTGCCTTATTGGAAATTAAAGATGGTAAATTTTAACAAATATTTTTATAATAACAATAATAATTCATTGCACATTAACATGAATAAAAATTTTTGCCAAAAAGCCCCTGTATTTTCCAAAGCAAAAAAAAAAATAGAAGAGTGGCATTGTTTTACATGTTTTTGCAAATCTCTTCAATGTCTGACTTAATAGGAGACAGCTAGATTCTTATATCTGTTTCTGCATTCAACTTGTGATAAGTTGTTTTGGTTGAAGCTGCATACAAGGAAAATCTGACCTCACACAGATATATAGTTGTAAAAGCCAAATAACATCAAAATATTTTTATGAGAATAGCTTTGACCTCCCAAATTTTTTGAAAGGGTCTCAGACATCCTCAAAGGTTCATAGACCATACTTTGAGAATCTCTGACCTACAGAAATACTTTGAGAACAGATACCACTTCACCAAGCAACAGGCAAGGCTTATAACAGGCACCCACCATTGGATTTGCTGCATGTAACTGAAAGTAATTTAACTGTAGATGAAGCCTATGAAATTACTAAAATCCAAGAATGGATTCAAAAGTCTTTCTGTGTGCAATATCTGCATGAATTTACCAATGCTCTATTAACAGCGATCCCTCAAATAAATTACTGAATCATGTGGATTTGCTTGTGAAGATTCCTGGGTTTAAGACAGCAGTTCAGGACCAAATCATTGACTAATTATAGAAGGTTATCCATCAATCAACCAATAAGTATTTATTAAGCACTTACCATGTTCTAGGCACTCTCCTAGATGCTGGAAATACAAAGAAAGAAATAGCCCCTGCTTACAATAAGTTTATATTCTTAAGGAGGATAGCTTTAGTGATAATTGTAGATCAGGCAAGGAAATTGTTTAAACTGTGTAACATCATTACAATCCATAAAATGTATGTATCTATCAAATGCTTAGCAAGCCAAGACCTTGTAACTAGAATTATATATATATATATATATATATATATATATATATATATACACACATATACACATATATACATATACATACACACACACACACACACTTTTGCTATCTCTCATGGACTAACATGACAAATCCCTAACTTTCAAGTAGAAATCTCAAAATATCCAGGAGAACTCAACCAATACATTTTACCAGAACTGGACTATTATCACAGAACTCACTATCATTTATAATTGCCTGACATAACTCTAATACACAAACATTGCTTAAAATTAAATTTTATTTTTTTTGTTAACAAAACATCTATTTTCTTTCCCTTCCACATCCCCATTAAAAAAATTAAAACAATGTCCTTTTAATGAGTATGAAAAATCAAGTAAAAAGAACACAGTACTCTGTATGTGGTCCGATCAGGGCAGAAAATAGCAAACCTACGTATTCCTGAATGCTAAGCTTTTGTGAGTGGAGAATAAGATATCATTTGCTTTCTTGGGTGCCTAATCGTATTATAGATTCACATTAACCTTATTGTCCACTAAAACCCTCAGATCATTTTAAAGAATTTCTGTGACTCCCATATCTTGTACTAGTGAAACTTATTTTTGAACCTCAGGGTATTAATTTACATATACCTCTATTACATTCAATAGTATTTAAATGGAAGCAATGTTCCAGCCTATCAAGAGCTTTTTTAAAAAAAATTCTTCTTTTTTATTGTTGTTTAGTCATTTCAGTTGTGTCTGACTCTTCATGACCCTATTTGAGATTTTCTTAGCAAAGATACTGGAGTAGTTTGCATGTTTTTCTCCAGCTCATTTTACGGATGAGGAACTGAGGCAAACAAGGTTAAGTGAGTTGCCCAGGGTCACATGGCTAATAAGCGTTGGAAGCTCGATTTGAACTCAGGAAGTTAAGTCTTTCTGATTCTAGACCCAGTGCTCTTTCCACTGTGCCACCTAGCTGCCCTTCTTTTCTTTTTACATCAACTTTATTTTCTGATATATGTTTCTTCCTCTCCCTCTCAGGGAGACATCATTTATAGCAAAGAATTAAAAAAGAGGGAAAACATTTAGTAAAACTAACTAATGTATCGATCAAGTCAATTAATTCACATGAGATACAGTATTACACACCCATAATCCTCTATCTCTGCAAAGACAGGGAAAAGTATTCTTATTCCTCCTCACTGGAGACAAGCTTGGTCATTAAATATCACAGCATTTCATTTCAATTTTGTCATTGTTATTCCTTCCATTTACATTGTCATAATGTGTATATTATTTTCCTACTCTCTTTGGTTTGGTTAACATCAATTCATAGAAGTTGTGAAGATTTTTATTGATCCTGTTTCTGTAATCCAATATGTTAGCTATCCCTCCCAGATTTATGTCAACCAAATAATTTCCAAAATTATATAATAAATAAATATTTACTGAGACTCCAATATGTGTATAATACTATACCAGTAACTGCTTTTAATGCTTTTTCAGTCCTCAAGGACTTTGTAATTTAACAGGCAAGGAAATACCACTGTACCTCTGCTCTACCAAGTCATAAGGAAGGTACAACTAAAGTACTATGAGTCTTTAGAAAAGGAGGAGAAAAAGGCATTTTGAGAAGGGAGGAAAGTAGTGTGGAGGAGGGAGAGTAGGACTGGAAGAATGACCATAATATATGAAAGGAAAAATGAGACCAATTTGATTGGAATGGAAGGTACATGTAGAGATGATAAGATTTTCTATTCTTTACCCACCCAATGGATATCAGATAATGATGATAAGAGACAAGTAATAGAGTCATAGATTGTTAGAACTATTTGAGATCTAAGAGAATCTGATCCAAGCCCCTCATTTCAGTGATGGGAAAACTGAGGGCTGAACAGAAAATAACTTACTGAAGGTCACAGTTGCTATACCTTAGCCTTTGTGAACTTACTTCTGAAAGCAGTGAGCTGCAGTCACAATCCAGGTGTTACTGATCAAGCTGCCGCCACATTGATGGCCAGAATCCTTTAACTGGAGACTGGCTTGCCATGGCCACTCTCCTACTAATGCAGCCGTAGTTCCCATGACTATCCTCTCAGTTGTTGAAGCTGATGTCAATGGCAGGGATGATGAGGTCGTACGTATCCCACAACCTAGCACAGTGAGACTGATTATTTTCATCAATAAACATCCATCAATATGCATTTGATTTGTATTCATCGGCATCATATCTGGTCAGTCCTATGCCCTTCTCCCTTAAAATGTATTTGGAAATTGAAGGGACTTAGTCCAACCCCATCATTTTATAGGTGAAGAAATGGAGGCCCAGAGAGGTCAACCTTGGCCCTATTTTCCCATCCATGGTATTTGGCCTTGGAAAGCACCTTATAGTATTTTCTATTGGTCAATAGAAAATTTGGGAACAATCCTCTCTAATATTGGATAGGATGGGATTTTTAGAATTGACCTCTCTCTCTCTCTCTTTTTGCTTTTTGGTGACTTGCCCATAGTCACACAGCTGGTAAGTGGTAAGTGTCTGAGGCTGGATTTGAACTCAGGTCCTCCTGACTCCAAGGCTGGAGCTCTATCCACTGCACCACCTAGCTGCCCTGGATTTTTGGAATTAAAAGAGACATTAGAGACCATCTAGTCCACCCTCTTCATTTTACAGATGAAGAAACTGACATTTCCAGGTTCATGAAAGTAGTAAATAGCAGAGCCAGGACTCGGACTCAAGGTCTCTGACATGAAATTGAATGAAAATTAAATGAAAGAAAAGAGCAAAAATGTTTTTTTCCACCATCCTATATTGTTATATTTTGGATTCATTAAATTTTAAAATAGTGCAGATCTAGTTCAATAGCTAACATTTTTAAGTGCTGATTTCACACTGCCTGTGATAGGATATTGAGCTGGCTCTGAGAAAGCCCAATTTTAAAGTGAATCAATGAATGAAGCCTTTTTAAAATAGCATTTTGAGTTATCTCTATTATTGTAAATTAAGAATAGAGTGATAGGAAAGCAGCTGAGGAACATCTTCCCCAAGTTAGGTTTATAAATTTGTGATGAATTTGTAATGTCTTCCAGGGATAGGGGCTTCATTGGAGACAGTTATATTGGAGAATAAATTGAAGGGAGGGGTAAAGCAGACATTTAAGAGACAGGGGGAAAAAACAACACTTCATCAAAGCTAAAAAGTTTCAAGTTCAAATATAGAAAATTTTAAAAGTTCTGCTGTTTTTCCCCCTCGTGACCTGGAGTGATAGACAAAATTGCCTCTTTCCTCAACATAAAGAATATGCCCCAAATCACCATGAGATGGAGCCAGTCTAAAAGGTCTCCCTAGTTTTTACTCATTAGCTGTGGTTATAGATTATTATTTTTTTCTTTGGGAGGAGGGGACTGGACCTATGTTTTCTTCAGTGTGGGGAACTTCTAGTGTGCAAGCTCCCTCCATTAATAATAGCTATCATTGATATAGCTCTTTGAGGTTTGAAAAGTGCTTTACAAATGCTATCTCATTTTATCTTCATGACAATCCTGGGAGGTAGGTGCTATTATTATATGTGTACACCTTTGTACACATGTGGAAACTGAGGCAGGCAGAAATTAAATGACTTCCGTGGAGTCACTGAGCAACTAAGTGTCTAAAGCTGGATTTAACTTAGATCTTCCTGATTTTGAGTGCAGAGTTTTATCCACTGTACCACATGGTTGCCTCATATTCATTAATTGATTAATCTGCACAAGTGTCAATTTATCTGTATGTGAAAGTTTCAGAGAATTGCTTGAAACATTAAACATGACTTTCCCAAGTTATCTCTCAGAGGAAACACTTGACTAATGTCTTCCTGACTCTGATGTCAGCTTTTTATCCACAATGTCACTCTATTTCTCATCCTTGTTATCAATTATGGATCATGGTGTAGAAAAATTAAATATACTTTTAAACTTACGGCTGTTGAGAAGGTCCCTTGTCTTCATAGAATCAATGGCTAAAACAAATGAAATGTCCATAGAATCAGGTCAGATTAAGGCTACATCCTATGATATTTGATTTGATTTCTTTCAAGTGCTCAACAATAGGAGTACTTGTTATCAGAAGAAAAAAAATCATTACTGAAAAGAGCTAAAGATAGGAAATATTTATCAGCAAGTTATCAGAGAAAAGAACAAAATAAAAGTTCTGTCTGATCAGTACAAATCAAAGCATTTCTCATTTTAGATAGGGATCAAACTGTCATTTTGTTTTGTTTGGTTTCTTGACTGAGCACTAGAATTCTGAAAAAGATGACATGACCAGAGTTTTCCAATGGGTAGGGCAAATTGGAATGCTAGTCCCTAGCCCAGATCTTTGAGGGTCACATTGCTGCTGAGGTAGTGATCTAGGTGAGGAGACAGCCACCAGGAATGAGGCTGCTTTCCCAGCTCATACTAAAAAGAACCTGAATATCTTCCTGTAAAATCAATGCACAATCCCATCCCCCTTCACCAAGGCAAAGTGGACCATTGCTTCCTTCTTCCCTACAGATCCCTCAGGCTAATGTTTGAAGTTTTTATAACCTCTTTCCCCACTTAAGGTTTCCCTTGAATTCATGTTTCACCTGAACAATATATAATATAATATAATATATATATATATATATTTCATGTGTGTGTACATACATACATAAATACATACATACACACATAACACACATATGTGTGTTAATAATAGAAAGTAGGGAACCACAGTGTTATTGTCCCAATATCTCAGATCCCTTCTGTGGTTAGAATAGGTCCAAGCTTCATAGGGGCATACCTAGACATCCTTCCTCTTTGTCATCATCCACTTATATTAATATGAATGTGTTTGGTGAGTATAAATATATATGCATATACATTGTATAATACAATTTTATCTATGTATCTATATAACCTTTTGTGCTGTAACTAGGTTTGGAGTGTGGTGTTTTAGTGATTCAGACATTCTGATTGATAAATAACATAGATACAACACCTATTTTAAGCAATTCTCAAAGAATTGATATAAAAAAATGTTCAACCCTAAAACTGTGCTTGGTTAATATCATTGGCACTCACATATCTATATCTATATCTACATCTGTATCTGTATGTGCATCTGTATCTCTATCTCTATCTATCTATCTATCTATCTATCTATCTATCTATCTATCTATCTATCTATCTATCTAGTTCTTTAAGGTTTAAGGCCTTATGGTCAATTTCATGTTTCTTTGATGACTGGAAAAGGCTTTCAGAGTCTTGCATTACTTCAGGTTCTCCATTATGAACGTCATTTATCTTTGTAAGGCTCTTCTAGAGCGATACCCTTTGTGGGGAGCCCAGGGACTTTTTCCCAAAGGCCCCCTGGGATCTTTTGGATTAGACAACTGAAAAGTGATGACTGGCTGTAGATTTCTAGGCTAAAGGTCTTGGCCATTTGCTCCAAGTTCCACTAGGAATCTGGAAAACCTTGAGGGAGACAGAACTTTTTTCAGTGATTGAGATATAAACCTTCCCCCCTTTACATAGTTCAATCTTGGGTTTGGAAAAGTGATTAGAGAGCTAATCAAAGGCTAAAGTTTTGCTGCTGTTGAATATACTATTTTAATTTGACTTCAGAGACACAAAACAAAGATAGGTTAACACCAAATTAAAGAGTTATTAAGTGTCTATTGTGTGCAAGGTATTCTGGGGATATAAAGAAAAACAAGGTGTAGTATCTGCCCTCAAAGAATTTTCAATCTAAAGGGGATGATCTTTCATTTTTTTCTAGTTGTGTGATGATGCCTTCTAGAAGCTTGGAGATATTTAAATAATAAGCTGCTGGCTATTAATCTGGATATTTTTACCAACTAGCTGTGTGACTTCAAGGAAAATCAAGTCACTAAGTATCAAAATGGCAAAAAATCATCTTCATCTTTGAATTGTGAGTAATAAATGACAAAATGATCAAAAAGCCCTGCTAAACTAGGAAGTAACCTAGGTTCTCTCTATAATTTTATCCTCATGTACCATGTTATTGGGCTTCCTAAAGGTAAAACATTTTAAGGACCATTATTTAATAAACTTTTAGCATTTGAGTAACTCAACCCTAAAACTAAACTGACTTAGTGCTCTATTATGGTTTCAGGAGTAATACATACATAAACGCACTTTTGGTGGCAAACTCTTGATGAAAGGCAAGTGATGACCCCAATTCTTATGACACACAAAAGTAATCACATGGAAAAACAAAAACAAAGATAAAGCCTGGGAGGTTATAGGAGGGAGCCACTTACGTGTGATTTTAATTGAAGGATTACTTATGGCCAAAGAAAATGTTTTGGTTTTCAGGGCCTGATATAGTGTACTTCCAATTTTTTTCTTAATTCTTACTTTGTCAATTGAGGAAGGGTAGCGAAAAAGGAACAACATAACGACTTTCACACCATCTTTATCAGGTCTGTAGGTCATGGACAAAATAAAAGAGAAAGTTAATATGACAGTTCCATCATCATTAACTCTATCCCAAGAGTTACATTTACTACCCCAGTGGCACAGTGGCTAAAACACTGGATATGTAGTCAAAAAGATCTGAGTTCAAATCTGGCCTTAAATATAAAATATATACTATACTTCTACTAATATCAGCTAATATTCATATAGTACTAACTTTATAATTATTATCTCATTTGATCTTCACAGCTCTAGGAGGTAGGTGCTATTATAGTTCCTATTTTACAGATAAAGAAACTGAGGCAAACTAAGAGATTAAATAGCTTGCCCAGAGTCATGCAGTTAGTAAGCATCTGAGGTCAGATTTGGACTTACATTTTGCTGACTTCAGGTCTGGTGATCTATCAACTGACTATTTAGTTGCCTTATTTGTAAAGCTCCTAGCTATTATATAGTTGCTAGCTATCTATTATTCACCTTTAATTGACCCAGGAAATGTGGGACATAAATCTAAAAAATGATCTCATATGATAAGTAGAGAATGGATGATTTAAATATTAATAAAAAGATACTATATTTTATGTAATTTCTGTGTTGCTGAAAGATTGGAAATTAATAATAAACACTATTTAATTAAACATTAAATAAATATTTATTTATTTAAATAAGCATTTGAATTAAATCATTATAAATGTACCACAAGACCTGCAACTTATATGAATCATACGGAATTATTTTAAAAGTGACATATGGTGGGGGGGGAGGTTCTTAATTGTTAAATACAGTGTCAGTCTCTCTAATGCAAAAGAATCTGTACCCAGAGGTGCAGACCAATGACAATAATTCCTTCTGGGTAGGTATATTTTAATTCATGGGAGATTTCTATTATAATAGTCCATTTTTATTTATTTTTGAATCCAGTATCTGACAAAGCCATGTATGTTCAAGTTGGTATTCCAACTTCCATGAAAGCAATAGCATAGGATAGAGTAATTTCAATATCAAACCTTATTGTGCTGCAAGTCACATATGATTAATTAATTTCATCATAATGGCAAATGTTCAGGGATAGAAAACCAGCTTCACATACCTCAGTTTGATAACATGGGATTTGATATATCTTCCTTTGTGAGATGACTGTCGAAATATCTTAGTCATCTGTTTTATTAAGGAAAAAAAAAGATCAGATAGTGCTTGAGATTAATAGAAGATAACAGAAGAAGACAAATTATACAGTTGTAATATAGTTTGTAAATCATTTCAACTTGAGAGCTAAGCAAATGGAATTATTTATTCACACATACCAATTTATTTGTAAATCTATTTGCACAAAGGTAATCATGAAATTAAATGACCTCCTAGTGCATTTACAGCAGTAATAAGAGAAAATATGCATCAATGAGAACATAGTGTCAACATCATAGGTAACATTCCTGGTTCAACATTGTTATGAGAATCCTCACAATAAAGCAGGCTATTCAAATCCAGAATATGTTGCTACATATAAATTTACAGACTTTATTTTCCATCCCTGTGCTCTTAAGAAGGTAGTTGACAAAGGAATGTCTTTCATAGAACTCCAAGGAACCTTGAAAGTTAGTCATCACTCTTCCCCACATCCTTTTACAACGGAGATCATACTTATAAATTGGTTTTAGTGTAGTAAGGTAAATATCTTTTTGTCCAACCCTTTGAACCAGAGTCATTGATGGGATTGCAAGGTTTCACAATTCCCTAAAAGTACCTGAGTCCTTTGAATTACTGCAAGTTACTGCAAGAAGCTGAAGAAAGTTCCTGAAATTGTAGGTATATAAGAGAAAGCAGAGTGGATTCTTAAGAGGAATGGGGAGAATATGGGGGATCCATCCTTTTGAATGAATGAATGAAAAACATTTATTAAGCACTGTGTTATATGCTAGAAATACCAATAAAAAAATCTAAATGTCCGTAATGTGGGCTCTGTGGACGCATTTCAGAGGGTCTGTGAACTTGGTGGGGAAAAATTACATCCTTATTTTCAATCATTTTAAAATGAAATTTAGCATTTTATTTAATTATGAACATAGGCAACCCACTAGAGTAGTATTAAAGTCCATGGGTATTACCCAACTACCAAAGAGATCCATGGCACAAAAAAAGTTAAGAATTCCTGAACTGAACTCAAGGAAAATTCAAACTCAGATCAAATGGAAAGGCCCAGGAGTTCTAAGAGTGAAGTAATGAGACAGATGGCAAGACTTTGAGCCCCTTCACCAAACAGATGAAGTTATGCTAACACTTCATGAGGTGTTAACATATAATTTACCTTCCTTTCTAAAAAATCAAGCAAATTAGTACATTAGATTTGAGTGGAAAATGTAGAAATCATTGGAATGAACCAAGCAGAAATAAGACATCAGGGGAGCCCAATTATGACTCAACAACAATAAAGCCAAAGGAATGAGTGGCAGCCTGAGAGACAATAGTTAGAGGGGCTCCATTCCAGGACTATCCAGGTTCCCTGGAAGCCTCTCATCTACCACCAAAGTAAGATCAGAAAAGTGGCCAATGACTTTAAAACATCCCTTTTCTAAACTCTGGGCTAGGGAAGGGCAAGATTTCCTTCCAACCATATTTGTAGAAAATTCTCAGAAAACATTAAAATCAAAGAATTAACTGCATTTGATATTGACCACTTAAATTATCTACCTCAATAAAGAGTGGGCAGAGTCTAAACATGGTTGTGTGATATTTGGGGTTAGAACAAAGGTAATTTTTATGATAGCCAGCTCTTCCTTTCCATAAAAGTAAAGGTAAGACAGTGTAAGTTTGGGGAGTAGAGACTATTCCTTGAGAGCTTGAGGCCTACTTGCTCTTTATCTGAACCTCATGAATAGGGTTATCTGTTCCAAGATTGCCCCATTTGGCTTCATAAAGGCTATGATGAGGCAGAAGTTCATGTTCTAAAGTCACTTACAATTCCTGCTACCAATCTGTGAGCTAATATAATAAATGTTTATGACATTTTTCCTCCAGGCAAGTCAATGGTTCCTTACATACTGTTCTGTCCTGGATCAGATCTTGACACTATCCACATAAATCAATCGTCTCCTTTGATGGTTTCAGTTCAAAGTCATGAATAAGGTCACTTTACACTTAGGCTGTTATACTACTTCAGGCAAGACAGTATCTCAGACTCTGGGCTCATGGCTGTAAGAACAATCATTCCCATCAAAATCAGTTCTTTCGAAAATCCAGCCCTGGTCTGAACTAAGAGAGCAACAGACCAAGTGACATCTTTAAAGCAATATTTCTTGTTGAATAGTACTGTACACACCCAGTTACTGCCTGTTGCAAGTTTGAACTTGAAGCTTTCCCCTAGTTTGCAATTGCTTTGGGATTAAGTATTCTAAGAAGATCATTAGTCTCAGGTTAATAGCTGGAGAAGTCTACAAGGTACACCCATGAAAAGATGCTTTCTAAGCCCTGCGGTCCTCATGTCATTAGTGCAAGATAACTATGGTGTAAGTACACACCAGAGGGTAAAAAAAAGTCAGTAAAGTAAAAAAATCTCCTCTACTGTGAGTCCTTTCAGAATTGTTCCAGCACACAATGACCTTCCTCTCTTTGGAATCATATTGCCTGACCCATTCATTTATGATTTTTCTTGTATTGTTATAATGAACCACTATTCATTCTTTTATATTGTTCAGTTACTATTTATCTCCTTTTCCTAATTAGATGGTAAATTCATTTTGGGCTTAGCATTTTTCTGTACAAGTGCTTTATGCCCTGATATCTCCTACCACAGTTCTAGGTAGGTCTAGATGGGAAAGGGCATTGGATCATTTTAAGAACTCTAAGGAATCTGAAAGTCATCTAGTCCAGTGATGTCACATTCAAATAGAAACAGGGGCCACTAAACCATATACAAAGATCTTTGCAGGCCTAAAGTTGATTTAGAAAATCACATATTAATGTTATTTATATTCTATTGTCTTTTCATTTATTTTGTAAAACATTCCCTATTTACATTTTAATCTGGCTCAGGACATACTCAAGCCTGTTGGGTGCAGCTCACGGTGTGTTTGACACCTCTGACTAAATTTTAGTTCATTCTTCTCATTATACAGGTTAAGAAAGTGAAGCACAGAGAAATTAAGTAATTTGCACAAGATTATATAGATAACACACCAGGGATTAGAACCCAGGTCTTCTGATGAAGATTTCTTTCCATTCTACCACAGGTTTGCCCTGATTTTAATCTAAAAAGATTCTTACAAACAGAACTAGCCCAAATCAAAACCTTAAAATAAACCTCTTTTTTTTGCTCTTCGCTTCCCCTTCAGCATTCCCTGATCCGTTCTCTCCTTTCTACTGGATCCCATGCTCATTGCCTATCTAGGTTCCATCTAAGTTCCATCCAAAGCTCTTGATCTTCCCTGACCCCTTTCTTTTTATCAATGCTTAACTTGCTTTGAGTTTCATTCCCTCATTTCCTGCCCCTGGGTATGCACATTTTTATAGCCCTTTGGGCATAGTTCAAAATTGTTCTCCAGAATGGCCGGATCAGTTCACAATTCCACCAACAATGCATTAGTGTTCCAATTTTCCCACATCTCCAACATTTATCATTTTTCTGTTTTGTCATGTTAGCCAATCTGATAAATGTGATGTGATACCTCAGAGCTGTTTTAATTTGCATTTCTCTAATCAATACTAATTTAGAGCATTTTTTCATATGACTATAGATAGCTTTAATTTCTTCATCTGAAAACTACCCGTTCATATCCTTTGATCATTTATCAATTAGGGAATGACTTGTACTGTTGTAAATTTGACTCAGTTCTTCATATAGTTTAGAAAAGGGGTTTTTATCAGAGACACCAGCTGTAAAAATAAACATTCTTTATTTCTTCAATTGATTCTCCTATGATTTGCGTTCAAGTGTCAAGCCTCCTTGTCATCTTGGCTGTACAGCTTTGAATGTGCTAAAGAATATCAATGTCCCTTCAAAAATGCAGAGCCCAGCACTGAACACATTACCTCATGGTAGAACAGAAGCAAGACTACTGACATGTCTCCTATTCTAGACAGTATATTTCTTTAAATGCAACCTAAGATCACATTAACTTTCTTGGTTGACTAATCAGCACAGAATTGTATTCAACTTAAAATGCACTAAAATCCCCAGCTGTTTTTATAATGAATTTTTATCTGGCCATATCTCTTCCATCCTATATTTGTACAGATGATGTTTTAAAAGCAAACAATTTTACTGTTATCACTATTAAATTGTGTTATTTTAGAATCAAATCTTCGGAAAGCTGTATATAAGGGAACAGGAGTAAGACTATAGTCTTACACCATGCCACTAGGAATATCCTTCCCTACTAGCACATTTGTCAATTATTAGATATTCTTTGGGTATGACCATTCAATCAGTAATGATTTCAACTATTTCTCAAATCTTTCTACCTTCTCCACAAGACATAGCAATTCCCTGCTGTACTAATTTACTAGTCCTTTTAGAAAAGGGAATGAGAAGAGCTTGATATAGTGGGACTTATTCTTCATGAATCAACATTGGTCTGTAGAGATCAATGCTGTTCTTCCAAAGTGTTGATAAATACACAAATTCTGCTGGGAAAACATCATTCTAAAATTTCATCAGGGTTGATTTGTTAACGTTAGCCCTGTGGCACCTCTCCCACATTCTCCACAAGTTCTCCAAAATCAACAGGATTAGCAATCGAGTCTTCAAATTCTTAAAGTGTCCTGAGCTGATATCCATATATCCATACATACATATGTACATACATATATGTGTGTATATGTGTGTGTGTGTCTGGTGTGAAAGACAACCTCTCAAGATAGCTCAGTCTAGATGACTTCTATTCACTTCTGGTGATTTAGGAGAGCACAAATGAAACAGTCTGAAGGAAACTATGAAGAATTGTTGAGGATAGTGAAGTCTTTGGTGAGAAATTAAGGACTTTATGGCATGGATGGAATTTTCATCTCTGCTACTGCTGATTGAAGACAGAGGATACAATAGAGAAAGTAAAGTAACAGTGGATTATGAAGATGGTTTCTGAGAATAGGATTTGGATTTATGGAACACAGCTTAAAATATAGGAAAGACAGGCTCCTGGATAGAGATGGAATTATCTTGGGGA